GTTAAAAAGATCCAAGCTATATATGAATTTTTATCATAGCAAATGGTGCGTAGAACAGGCATGTTTGAATGCAAATAATGCTGAAGAGTCACTTCCGGATCAAGCAAAGGGAAAAAACATATTCTGTTACTCCCAGCTCTCTCAGGTGACTCCCGACTGATGACTACGAGGCGGAAAGACTAATGTGCAAAACATGCCGATCCAAGACAAAAGCGGTAATCTCCTTCTCAACTCAGCCGAGCGATTGATGCGGTGGAGAGAATACTTTTCGGAACTACTGAATGTGAATTCGGTTGTTGGTCCAGCGCTCATTGATCAAATTCCGATCAAATCGATTTTGGCAACTGAGAAAATCGATAAAATGCACCACCAGTAGGCACTGAAACAGATGAAGAGCAGGAAAGCACCGGGAAATGACGAACTTACTGCAGATATTATGAAAGCCGGTGGACTTCCTGTACTCATATGGCTACATGAGCTTTTCGTCGACATCTGGGAAAACGAGCAAATTGTGGAAGACTGGATCTCTGCAATACTGATTCGCCTGTTCAAAAACAAAGGTGACAAAAAAATCTGCGATAATTACCGCGGAATATCTCTCCTCAGTGTGGCGAGCAAACTGTTTACCCGAGTGATTCTGAACTGTGTCCGTGATCGGATTGACAAAAAGCTGCTGGACGAACAGGCTGGGTTCAGATCCAAGAGGTCAATGATGGATCAAGTATTTTCAATTAAAATGATAATGGAAAAACGTCGAGAATTTAACAAACCTTTGTTTATGATGTTTAATGATATATAAGGCATATGACTCTGTAAACAGAGAACCTTGGAAAATCCGAAGTTTTGGGGATTTCTCTCCTTTTCTAATAGTGATGGGAATGGTGAGGATAAATTTGTTGAGCAAGACGATGAAGACGATGTCAAAACGGGGGTATAGGTGTTGAACAAACTACTACTACTGCTGTACCTACACGAGGTAATGTTACTTGGACAAATCAAATTAATTTCACGGCTCCAAACGATTTTATTTGTGATAGTGGTCTGGTTCGTAACCTGCCTGTTGGAACATTAGAACTAGATTATTTTGAAGGTGTCATTAGCGAAGATTTTTTCATTAGGACTGCAGAGATAATAAATTTGCATGTGGCTAACAAAGGTCAAAATGGAGGTAAAATTGAATCAGATTGGAAGGACACATCAGTAGAAGAAGTCAAGGCATACCTTGGTATTCTTATTTATATGAGTATCTGTGTCTTACCTGAAAAAAGGGACTATTTCAATAGTAAATTGATTCAATGCAATATTGTGAGCAACTGCATGACTGAAAGGCGGTACGATTTACTAACTAAATATTTCCACCTTACCAATCCCCAAGATGAAAAAGAATTTGGTGAACCAGGTTATGACTATCTTCAAAAAGTTCGACTCCTTCTAAATAGAGTGTCATTATATAAACACAAGTTTAAGCCAGGGTGTGAGCTCTCCATTGATGAGGCTATGGTTGGTTTAAAAGGCAGGCAGTTTTTGAAGCAGTACCTTCCCAAAAAACCAACAAAATGGGGTCTGAAGGTATGGGTATTAGCAACACTAAATGGGTACATTTTGGAGGCAAATGTTCACCTAGACAAAGAAGAAGAAAGAAATAAGGACCATTTACTTGGGGAACAGGTTGTCATGAATCTAATGTAGGATTATCTCTATAAAAATCATCATGTTTATTTTGATAGTTTCTTCACGCCTGTCCGACTCATGAATGAACTTCATGACAAAGATACTTCTGCATGTGGCACAGTCAGAAGTAATAGAAAGGACTGGCCTGTACAGTTCAAAACACAAAAAAAACGGAAACTCAAACAAGGGGGGAGTAAGAGCCTGCAACAATTTTTAAAGATAAGAGTGGGATCATGATACTGTATAGCAATGCTGATCCAGACCAACACATGATGGTTGAGAGGAAGGTTGGTAAGACCAAGGAAACAGTGAAAGTTCCCTGCCGCACTGCTATATGCCGTCAGCTACATTTAGATGAAAAACAGACACAGTATATATATATGTTCATTTTACTATTCTTTTCTGTTCTCTTCTCTTTTGTGAATGTAGTAGTTCACTATTTTCTCTAAGAGAATGAAAAAGAATATTCTTAAAAATATCTTGTTGTTGTCTCTCTATATTCAACTTCAGCAATCATTAAGTATGTCTACAATGCACAAAACAATTTAAAGCGAAAGGAATAACGGGTCATGTGAAGGCATGTGCCAAAGACTGGTGCAAAAAGAATAAAATCACATTCTCGAAAAAGTAATGCGAGAGCAAATTGGGACTGTTTCTCCCTGGTGCAATGATGGACACTATTTAAACTAGTTATCCGGAGGGTAGTGTGCTGATAATATACCTTGAAGCAACGTTTCAATGTAAACGAACGAACCGGAAACCGAAACTGTCACCTTAACTTTTTATGTTTTTTGTGTTTTTATTGTTACTTTTATTGATTCTCACCCTGCACTGCAAGGTAATGGGTCTAATACATACATATATACTCCCGACTAACTCTCGGAGTTCCGGCAGTCTTGCTTTTCTTCCTTAGTGAAATCAGAAAATGTCTCGTTAGCTGTTCCCTATGGTCTCTCTCTGTTCGCAATATGTTCAGAGAGCGACTATCTCAAAAATTCGATAAAAGAGACAAAAAGGTTGAAAAGGGAGACCAAGGTGGGACATGATCCATTCAAAAGGGAAAATTGGGGGAGCGATGCTTATTTTCCAAGAGGATTCGACAGTCCAACAAAGAATAAAAATCGACCGAGGTCGTTCCAGAAACAAAGATTCATCTGGAAATGAGTTAGGTGGTTGAGGGGAATTTGGTCCCAGGTTTGAGCCAGACCTGCAACCAAATTCGCATACCAGTACCGGGCTCGTTGGTACACTCACGAGGAAAGGACACCAAGTGATAAATCGCTTCTAGCTTAAAACTCAGTGAACAATAGGTAATCGAATCTGCTGATTCCGAATACTAACATGAGACGGGCCGCTAGGCCTCCAAAGACTGAATTTCTAGAAAATTAGTTTTCCAGAAACTCCAAAAACCCTCCAAAACTTTTCTTAATAAGTTGGAATTGTAGCGCGCGAAATTCTGATCAAAATGAGACATTGCCCAGCTCTACATGACATTTCTTTGCAAAGTTATGGAATTTACAAGAAAAGCCCTAAATGTTCATTGTCAGCTCAAAGCTACAGAAATAAGAAGAAATTAATGTAGGGCTTTTCTTGTAAATTCCATAACTTTGCAAAGAAATGTCATGTAGAGCTGGGCAATGTCTCATTTTGATCAGAATTTCGCGCGCTACAATTCCAACTTATTAAGAAAAGTTGAGTTTCTGGAAAACTAATTTTCTAGAAATTCAGTTTTTGGAGGCCTAGCGGCCCGTCTCATGTTAGTATTTGGAATCAGCAGATTCGATTACCTATTGTTCACTGAGTTTTAAGCTAGAAGCGATTTATCACTTGGTGTCCTTTCCTCGTCAGATCAAACAAGCACAGTCGTAAACAGTCGTAAAGAACCTTAACTTGTCGTTTTACTAGTAGCCGTATTACAGCCGTATATCGCCGTATCCTAAACTGTAAATTACTGGAGGCGGTGACATAGGGGCCACTATCAAAATGGCAATTCATGGCTCTTTACGGCCGTATAGATCATCTGATGCGGTCATCGTTTAAGCAATTGTAACCATCGTCCTGGATAACATGCACAAGCCACCGTTCATATACAAAGCTGAGTGAAATTTTTTTTCATACTGATTGTGTAAGAGTGACAAACAAAGCTGATAAGGAGTACTCCTTTTCTTTCTAACTGATAATGACATCAACTATCTTTGGAGGGCTTTTTACTCTTTTTTGTTTGTAAGAATGCGCTGTTTGTTATTGCACAGAAGAAAGAGAAAATCTATGTTTTCTAAAATTTCTTTGTATGGTGTAACACTAGCTCGAACCTACACATGAGAATTTTTCCTGGTATCAGTTACAAACAAAACAGAGAAAAAACTTTTCAAAGATAAATAATGTCGTTGTGAAAAAGAGTAAAGATAAAAAACTTCCGTTAGTTTGAGGTTGAGTTTGCTATATCACTTTCGGCTCTATACTAGTAAAATACCTATCTGTAGTGGAAACTAGTTGATAACTGCAGCAATAACCAGCCGTTATCGTTCATGCTATCCTAAATATGATAGGAATATTACCCTTTAAGAAACTTATCATAGAACGTTACATCAAAACAGTCAAATAGTGTAAGGTAGCAGAAGGATTTAAAGTCGAAATAGTAGAAAGAAGCATTGCTGTGTACTGATTTTGAGCTATCCTGGATTCAAAATGTCTTATTCTCCTTTGTACGTAAAGAATATGTACAGTGAGAGCCGAATTATAGTTAAATTCAAAAAGGATTGCATCATGTTTCTGAAGAAATCTTTTGAATTGGATCTATCAACAGAATACAACTGTCTAAAGGAGATAGCTGAAACAGATATATAAAAGTTTCCTTTGGCTGAACTCAACCTAATTTTGATAATGTGAGAACCTGGACATAATCGCATCGTGATGCTGCTAAAATGCTTTCATTCAGCGTGAGATTCCGATCCAATCTTATCGCGATTTTTGTGGGATCCCAACCCGATATCGTCAAAAAAACTTTCGTGTCAAGATCATGATATTTTCGTTACACGGAAACAAAATCAAGATTAGGTGCGATCACAGTAGCGATCTTCCTAAAAGCTTCGAATTTCTTGTCAAGATCGTGTTAAGATGTATCTGCATTCCTGATGGGAAATGATGCGGGAGTGACTACTAGGGCTGATATTCTCTATACTATAGAGGGCACTCTATCCATAGATGTCGATTTCGAATGCGAGAGGACCAGATAACAAGATCAATGGATTTGAATTTCAAAGAATCGGTTTTGATTTTCATCCGATTCGATCCCAATAGTTGTACGGAACTGAAACTTTTTAAAGAGTATGAATCTGTCACCCATCTACCATCGTCGCCATGTGCGAATGAAATTTTTGGGTACCGGTATAATGGAACATTTTTATTACACCTTCTTACATTTTCTATTCATTCATTGGATTTTTTTCCGCATCCCTCATGATTTCGACGACTACGACAGCCATATTCATTTTCCATTTCTTCTGACTGTTAATTGTCTAGTCTGTCTCGTTAAAAACATTTCGCTCAGCAGTAGCTATCAAGGTTATCTTTGTTCTTATTCTTTTTTCTCTTCTCGCATGGTTTTTGTACGTTGCTATGTTGAATGGGTAAAAATATGAATGGTTACGATGCAAAGAATGAAATGTCGATAATGCGACTGCATTTCACAACTGGATGAAAGAAACGACCGAACACAGTCGTTGAAGTGAGGTTGTGTTGTTTTCATTCTAATAACACAAGATAGTTGAAGACTTCAGCCAAAGTATAGTGTAACTGCAATAGATATAAAAAGACACAAGGTAAATAGTCGATCGTTTAGAATTGACTTCTTTCATCTAGATTATCACCGCACACTTAACAAAAAACGCCACTTTTTCCTATTTTCATCGATTATGCGAATATCAGTCCGTTCGTTCGATGGAAAGGAGACATCCTTAGATGTTCAACCGAATGATACTATTCAAAGCGTCAAAAAACAAATACAAAGTAAAGAACGCATTCGCATTGATTTGCAACGATTGATGTTTACTGACAAAAACCTTCAAAATCGTCGGACCCTATCGAATTACGGAATTCGTGATGGCGCTGTTGTCTATCTAATGTTACGTGAGTATTTCCGATGCTGGAGGGCATCTATTTCACCCTAATTCTTTTGTCGAACATAGGTGCAGCACAGAATAGTAACACTGTTGCTGGAGGCTACGGTCAAGGTACTGCTAACGATGAGCTCTGTTTTCCTTATGGTCTCGTCGTTGACGATGATCAATCGATAGTCATCGCTGACTGGGGTAATCATCGCATTTTGCAATGGAAAATAGGCGAGATCAATGGTCGAGTCATAGCAGGTGGTCACGGTCAAGGCAATGCATTGAATCAATTGAATTGTCCGACTGACGTTCTCATCGACAAAGAAACAAATAACTTAATTATTTGCGATCGAGGAAATCGACGCGTTGTACAATGGGCTCGTAGTGGTGATGCAGCCGAAGGAGAAACTATCATCGACAATGTAGCATGTTGGGGATTAGCTATCGATAATCAGAGAAACTTGTACGTTTCCGATACTGAAAAGCATCAAGTACAACAGTATCGAATAGATGGTACGAATGGGAAGCTAGTTGCCGGTGGCAAAGGCAGAGGTGTTGGTCTTGATCAACTCAACTGTCCGACTCACCTATTTGTCGATAAACAACAGAACGTCTATATAGCTGATGTATGGAATCATCGAGTCATGCAATGGTTGAAAGAAGCATCTACGGGAACTATCGTTGCCAAGGGATTTCCTCGAGGATTATTTGTCGATAGCTCTGAAAATATTTATGTGGCGGACTATGGAAATCATCAACTCGTATGTTGGCCGAAAGGAGCAGCAGAAGGTACGGTCTTTGCAGCTGGAGATGGTGACAAAGATGATACAAACCAGACGTACTATCCTTGGGGCGTCTCCCATGATCAACATGGGTATCTCTACGTTGCCGATCATTCAA